CTTTTCTGGGGTTGCGTCTGCATCGGACTCGAGATCGCTGAAATCTTCTTCGCCCCAATCTATGTTACCCTGACTATTCAAGAATTGTTGCTGTTGCTGCTGGAACTGCGCCATCACCTTGGCTTGCCTCTCTAGCGCTTGCTTCTTCTTGATCTCCTTGTCGTTATCTGCATCAATTGCAGGAGAATTGGTGTCAATCCGGTCGAAGGGAAATTTGAGAGACGCAGTTGCCGATGAATATGTGCGAGGGCGCTTTTGCCACAGACGTTTGAGTATGTGTCGGATTTTAGGGCCAGATGCAGTGAATTCACTCGTGACGGAAATTCTTTCCAATAAACCGACAATGGTCAAGTGGCCAGCCTTGATCTCTCGGGTCTTTGACAAAGCATTCCAGTTGAATGAGTTGGAATGGTCTTCTACCATATCAGTTTCCTCGGAATCATCCTCCAATACCGCTGCAAGGACAAGATGCAGAATCACTTGAAGGAATGTCTCAACGCGCGTCGATGGGATGGTTGGTGTACACTCTTTTGCAGAGATAACGTATTCCAAACATTGATGAACAATCTGTGCAAACAGCATTGTTCCGGCGAATCGAGGAAGATCTAAGAACACGCCAGAGCTGATGGGTCGAAGTTTTGGCTCGAAAACAATGTCAGATGCATTCTTTCCTGTCTTTTTCGCCATCCATTCCTTGTAGATATTCTCTGCTTCGTCTCTTTGGTTCTTTGTATAGTGTGCGCTATATGGATCAATAAGATCGAGATATTCGGGCTTCAATTCAAAAGTACCAGAGTCACTTAAGCCCTCGGGCGGGCGGAAGTTGGCGACGTCTTCCAACACATCTTGGAACATGTCTGAGTCCAGAAGCTTGTCACTAAGGCGGGTCGAGAGGTCAGAGAAAGACAGCGGCTTGAAGCATAAAACATGAGCGATGTCACGTTTGATGTTTTCGTGGGTGAGATGAATGCTGTCATCGATGGCAGTCAGAGATGTTCGGTCCGTCAGGAGAATCACCAGTAGATGAACAAATTCCTCTGCCACGTCCACAATCTGGGTATCTTCGTATCCAGGACGGGGCATGTAATTTCGAGCCATCCACTCAACCATACCAAAGCGGTGTGCTATAGAAGCAAGAACTCTGCTAGAATCACATGTGACTAAGGCAGTCTGGAGAAGGAAGATATCTCTGTAGTATGCAAAATCACGAGAAGAGACTCCACGGTACTGCGACATCTGATGCCGAAGACTGAGACCATTTCGAACCCACATGCCAGCCTTCATCTGCGCCAGCCAAGCGCAAACTCGAAGTGGATAGTCAAACATAGCCAGGAGCAAGTCCTCGGGCCCAAGGGCAAGCAAGATATCATCGATACTACTAGGGTTAGCAGTCCGAGCGGCATGAATCTCACTCCTCGCCGCATTGGCAGCGTCAAAGAGCACGCCACGCATAGTCTCGCTACTTATATCTCGTCCGCATTCAATAAGCCACGACAATGTGTAGTGGAGGGCATGGTGGAAACTGATAGATCCACGTTCCACCACGAATTCAACCACCCGATGGCAGGGCACTTGACCATGACCAGAGGTGCCGACCTCAAAGTCAAAAGGTGGCAGTAGCTTGAATCTTAATTCATCTTTTATTTCTGCCTGGTCGAACCGCTTGCGTTCTACACCAGCCGAATGGATAATCGCTGTAGTGGCGGTGGTCTCAATTGCCCTCAGAAGGTTGTCATCGTTGTCAATTTCAGGGTCGCGGAAAGACTCGCAGAATTGGCGGCAAAGTCGGTTGATTTCCCGCATGAGAATTGACGCACTGATCCAAGCATCCGTTTCATATTCAACGTGTTCACCAACAGCGCGGACATTGGGGCAAATACCCTGTGACAGCTTGACAAGGTCAAGGAATTGAGGAAGGTATTGTTCCTCGGTCCGCACACGATGCTGTACGTATTCAGATTGGAGAAGGTATCGCAGGTCAAGGAAGAAGTGGTAGAGACGTCTATTTGTAACTGAGCCGGCATCAAACGCCAGGGTGGCGTTGGGGTCGACGGATTGTGGTTCGCCAACTTGTCTCGTGGTTAAGAAGGTGTAGAGAATAGACATCACCTTCGTGAGGAAGTTGCCTCGCACGACAATTTCTTCAGTGATGGACGGGGTCGTGAGAAGTTGCAATGAAAGGTTGACAATCGAGTGGTCCGGTTCTCGATCCGCGATGAGGTACAGTTGAGCCAGAGCCGTGTACAACGCAGACAAACGAAGACCCATAATGCGCTTGAACTGAGGAACATTGACAACAGTGCTGATGTAGAGATCACGCAAGTCTGTTCGTGTCTTCTTCCACAGCCTCAAGTCATACAGCACCAGCCAGTCTAGGCGAGTACGCTGCCACAAGTCTTCATACGGAGGTACTTCTTCGCCCGGGGCGGGAATGGGCGGCCGGACTTGCCAGTGACTATCCGTGTTCGAAGGCCTTTGTCGGTACGAACCAGGAGTCTTGGGAATGGGGATATAACCTGTAGGGGCGGATTCAGGGCCAGGACTTTGAGATGCGGACGGGCCTCGTTCGGTAGAGGACCGATCTGCGGTTTGATTCAGTGCTGGTCGGGGTGGTGGCTGGGTGCCAGTGAGTCCGGCGAGAATGCGCTCTGCTAGAGCAAGTTCCTCATCTGCACCTGCTAAGATCATATCTTCATCTTCTTCCCGATCACGAGAAAGTTCGATGTCCATCTCGTCGTCATCTTCATCATCAGCATCGTGGGCCTCGACATAGTCTTCGTCTTCATCTTCGTCTATAGCATCGTCATCAAGCATATCGTCTTCGTCTTCGTCTTCGTCTTCGTCGGCGGTCAAGAGGACCTGGCCATGATTAGGCAAATTAATCATCAGCGTGCGACCTGGAAGGTTCTCAGTCCGCTGATGATCGTCAATGCCCTTCATGCCGATATCTTCGTTATATCCCCCACTGCCCTTTTTCCAAGGCATAAGCATTTCCTCGCAGATGGTTTGTCTGAAAATCTCATTGTCCTCGAGGATTTCGCAGCCAGCAATATCAGCCAACCACTCGACTATTGTTGTGCACATTTGCTCGCGAAAAGTATCCCGCGCAGAGCGCACCGTGACGGTAACCTTGATCTCCTCGATTATCTTAGAAACCCCTAAGAGTCTGTTTAGGTCCCTCGAATACTTTATGACACTGCGGCCCATATCGTTCGTTTCATGAGCCCGTGCAAGGCCGAAGCTATCTCGTTCACGGCAAGCACGTGTGACCTGGTGAGAGACATCGCGAATTGTATGCTTCTCGTCATTCCACAGCATGACCGCAAATTCAGGTTCATCCTCCTCTTCATCACCAGCGCCATACCAGTCCGGACGCAATCTAGAGGCCTCCTCATCCTGCCTAATGCCCTCGACAGTCTTTGGCAGCCGCAATTGCTCCGGGGAGCAAGAGATAACATCACAGAAGTAGTCGAGCACACGGGATATAGTCAAGCGAATTGAAGCGACAAGCTCCGAAGGCAATGCCCGCTGCGCCCGTTCCTTTCCCTTGGTATTACCACTATCGGTATGAATGGCGCAAAATAGCGGAAGGCGCCATGCTTCGTCATCACCACAATCACAGCAGCCACAGTTTCCGGAGGAAAGCGAAATCTGATATTGATGCCCAGTGTGATCCGAGGAATCGAAGCATCGACTACACAACACGCACGTATCATCTGCGGCACATGTCACGCATCGGTATGTGGCTTCCCCAGCACGGAAGATATGACCGCAGCGCTTGCCCCGTGCTGCCTCACTGTACTCAGCTCCTTCCCGGGCACCTTGAGCCTCCGCTAGTTTCCATGGTCCGGCCGGAGTTCCCTCTGGGAACAAGTGTTGTATTAGTTCTGTGTTGTGTCCGACAAGCGATCGGAAGAGAAGCTCTAGCAGGTCCTTCTCGGCAGCGGGGCCATAGCGGAAGTTGTGTTTCTTGGGTAAACGGAGAAGACCATCACCGAGCAGCTTCTCACATTCCCCGAGCATGAACATGATTTGTTGTTGTGGCTTGCTTGCCGTAGCGGTCGCGCAGGCTATCACAAGGAAGTGATGGGAGAGCGCCGTTGTCGCGACAATGCGCTCGAGGTGGTAATGGTGCGACGCAGGTGGTTTCTTCGCGGCTATGCAGGCGGGAAAAAAATTCTCAAGTGAGGATTCAAGGGATCGGTCCGGATTGAGTCGATATGGTTCTCAAGTGTGGTTCACGTTGCTCACACGATGATACTTTGTGGTGGGGGGAAGGTGAGAGCAACGGGTGAAGTGGACCAATGCAGGCGAACAGATGAGCACAGATACGGTGAAGTCATATACGCGTTTGAAATTTGAATACAAAGCTCAAGGTCCAACAGGCCAAAAATATACAAGAAGAAATCAATTTGAGAGTTGTTTGTAGAGACCGGAAGGTAACATTTTTTCGCTATGACATCGATGGAACCGGTCCGTCAGTAAACGCCACAGCCACGCTACGGCCTTATCACCACATATGTACAGAAAAACACGCCACGGTTTGAAGACTTGAAGGTATAAAGGAGAGAGCAGTTGGCTGCTTCTGTGGCCTCTGTACTTAAGGATGTAAACTTTTATCAATCTGATCTATTTGGTCGAAGATGACCTTACCTAGGAACGTTATATGTAAGAACATTTCAATGTCTTTCTAGATGTCTTGGTAGATCTCTTTTAAAATCTATTTATATATCTCTTTCTTCTTGGTGTTATAACCATCAAGGATGATAAATAACAGCATGGGGTATGTAGACTCTAATATGTACGATACACCAAGGCGATAAAACGTGTAAACCATAGAGGGCCTTTCTACGTATAACCAGGGATTGAGAGTCAAAATACAGATTTCCATCTATCACGTACAAGCCCACATATGGGATGAGAAACAACAGGCACGAGCTTCACTGGCTTTTCCATGCCCCTTTACCCGCGGTAAAGTACCCAATCACCTTCGAGTCCATTTACTCGTCATCTTCCTCCTCCTTAACCATATAACGGTGCTTGATGTCCTTCCATTGGCGCTATAAAGTGAGAGAAATAGTCAGCTTGGGTCCTCGCCTCGGGTATTGTAGACGGTCCATCGGGAAAGAGGTTCACATACGCCGTGGTTCCAGGTGTCCCAGACTTTGTTGGAGGCGATGTCGAAGGTACTGTTTTGACATTGCATGGTTAGTTTTCTGTATTAAGCTGTACAGCATATCTAACATGCTCGAGGATTGGATGTAACCCACAGCTCAAAAGCGAAGGCACCGGCAAAAGCAGTGGTCAGCAGAACAGTGTTCTTGCGAATGAAGGTCCTAAACAGAGCAAATAATGCGTCGGTTAGATTTCAATTGGACCGTTTCAGTTGCGATCGTAGGACCTAGGAAAGGGAGACATGCGAGTAGATAACGTTTGCGAACTGTCATGCGAGAGGTCAATTAGTACTGGACGTAGTAATGCAAATAGGAGCAATGGAAGAGGGAGTATAGACATACACCAGCCATTGTGAGAGATTGGGGTGTTTTCACACGACCTAAATTAAAGGATTCAAGAGGAGTATGAGGCAGCGAGAGTTGAAGTTGTGAGGTTGAAGTTGCGAAGGTTGAATCTGCGGGAATTGCCGGTCCGCTGATTGGCCGAGCCTCCGGCCTTCCGCACTCAACTTTCAATGTTCGCGTTGTTTTTCTCTTTGGATCTTCAAGGATACTGATCTTTGCCTTGGAGCTTGACTCTGTCAAGGTGCTATCGGACATCTCATATTTTACTAGTTCATTAGTTCAACCCTACAAACCGCACCATGGCCTCCAACGTCGCCAGGTCCGGCATCACCACCGATGCCCAGACCGGCGAACGATACATTCCCTCGTCAGTCCGTGCCGACGGTTCTAAACGCAAGGAGATCCGCGTGCGCCCCGGCTACAAGCCCCCCGAGGATGTCGAACTATACAAAAACCGGGCAGCGGCAGCATGGAAAACCCGCGGAAAAGGCGGGGTGCCGGGAGCGGAAGCATTGAGCAGCGAAGACGACAAGACCAGGACCGCAGCGAAACCGGCAGTCGCCGCCACCACTGCCGCCAGCAACAAGAACGCTAAACGCCGCGAGGCCAAGCGGAATGCGAAGGAAACCGACGAAGCCGGGCCCACCGCTGAGGGCAAGGGCGCGGAGTCGAACAACTGGCGTGTCCCCGCACCCGCACCTAAAGAAGATAAGCCTGCTGAAGAGCCGATTGATCTCGAAGCTGAGAAGGAGAAGAAAGCTCGCAGTCTGAAGAAGAAACTACGCCAGGCGCGGGATCTTCGCGATAAGAAGCAGCTGGGAGAGGCGCTGTTGCCCGAGCAGTTGGAGAAAGTCATCAAAATTCAAGAACTTGTCCGGCAGCTGGATGTATTGGGCTTTGATTCCAATGGTGACAAGAAGATTGGTGACAGCAATGGGAATGCCTGAATGCCTTTTCGAACCCTCAGACGCGGGGTAAGATCAGATTCAATATTTCATATCCATGTGTCGAGTATATGTCAATGTGCATATCATTCACCAGGGCTTCCTGCAAGCACCCCGGGAGCCACCAAACTATCCTGCATCATTGTGGCAAGTGGTTGGAAGTAGGTGGGTGAGAATCGCTACCTATATAGCAGGGGACATTAGAACTGGGTTCAGCCTTCCAATCACCCATCGCTTCCTCTGTGGGAGATTTCGGATGCTGTCACATCTCTCTGCCATTCCCTCGATCGGGAGTATGGGTGCTCTTGCCCTTGACCCTGATTTAGGATCAGGACCGAGGATGGTAACAGACTTCACAAATGGATCAACTTTTAGCCTTAGGTTAACCGACCATGAGCTGGCAGTGATTAGACATTAGAAATTGAACATTTGATATCCGGCCAATGCCGTCGATTTCCAACTCTCAACGAGAAATATATTGTTTCATTGATACATTTACTATACATCGCTTTGGCCTTCTCTGGTGTACATTTCCAAGTATAAGTAGCAAAGCCACTTGGACTAGTCACAAAGCATCAGATTTTGGAGTCAACAAGACGGACAGGAGACATCACAATGCCACCCTCAAGTTTCCAGCGTTTATAATCAAACGAAGTCCACGGACGCCATGGACTGGGCTCGTAGTTGAGCCGGTTTCTTCCGATGCCGTAGGTGGCAGATAAGATACCCTGCTTGACACAGTCGCCCACACTCACGCCATTATACCAATTTCCAGCGAGAATAAGCCGCTTCTGGTAATCTTTACGAACTGTGTCCGAGAGCTTATACATGCGATCCAGATGGCCGACTGTGTACTGGGGAATAGCATCCTTCTGGAGACGGCTCCGTGTAACAGTCGGGGTATCAGTGATATTCATATGTCTCTTGAGCATGTCGCGAGCCATTTTCACTGCGGTGTCGTGGTCTGGATACTCTTCGAAGCCATCCCAGTAATGTCCACCTAGCATGACGGTGATTTTCGTTCCAGGTGCGGAATCTTGGTTGACTTCAGATGATGAAGGATCTGTCCCGTTCCCTACACTAGAGGACGAGGCGAAGATGACGCCAAGTCCACATTCTGGGTTCTGTTCGTAGGGAATCGAACGCGGTATGAGGTATCCAAAGCCATCCTCCACGGGTAGAAGGTTGGGATTTGGGTAATACAGATTGACGACTAATACGGTCACAGCATAGTCCTGTCTTCGTAGCAGTAATGGGGTCAAGCCGACAGGGTACAGCTTGGCTTCTAACTGCTCGGTTTTCCGCATGGTCTTCGCAAGTGCAACTGGAGGAATGGTGGAGATGACATAGTCATACTCAAAGGTCTTGACTTGGCTGTGCCTGTCTGACCAGAATTCCATCTATTGACAGTCAGCATCAGTTTCAGGGCTTTGGGAACTTAGGGGTATAACATAGCAAGGCAGAATAATTCACATACCGCAATCGCAGGAGCACGTGCCAATGCACGCAAACCTGTGATTTCCTTGTTCATTTGGAAGCGGACTTTGCCGGATGCTTTCAATGAAGCGACCAGTGCTTCAGTAAGCTGGCCAACTCCCCTCTTAAAGGTGAAAGTACTAGCTCCAGCTGCGAGGACCTCTAAATCATGCTGACGGCGCACTAATTCAGGGCCTGCAGAAATGGCGTCTATAGCCATAAAGTCTTCCATATTCCGAGTTTTCGTTTTGGAGAGCGACCTGGAGATGAGAGAGGCCGTAACTCCACCAGAAACTAACCCACCGATGCCCCCAATACCTCCCTCAAGGTTGCGGACGCTCCCCAACAGTGTTTGAGCACTCAATTGATCGATATCACCAGCATAAATCCCATGGTACACAGCGGAGACTATATTATCTGCAACTTTGGGGCCAAAACGACGTCCGATGAAGTCCGCAACAGACTCATCTTCCGCCCATTCAGTTGGGTGGCGGGGTGGAGTGAAGACATCCTTCACTATCCCTGAAAGAAATTTGTTAAATAGCGGCTCCATCATAGTATTCACAAAGCTGTCGAAGTTCTCCGCAAAAGAAAGTTCAGGCTTCGGCGCCGGCATACGAACGAGACGGTCCGGGTAGTAAATATAGCGATTCTGGGCCGCGGGGCTCGTGTTAGGGGTAACAATGAGGTCTTTGTACAAGCCTAGATTTGTCGCCTTTCAGTGGGGTCAGCATATCAAGGCACTGCAATTCGGAGCATGCACACGCGAGCAATACTCACCAGGTAAAGCAGAGGGAGTGACCCTGGGAGCGAGCTCCTTAAAGTCCGCGGCCCATACTCGAACACGACATTGCCACCATCGACAGGAACTGTTTCAGAATCGATCCAACCACCAAGCCGGTCTGTTTTCTCGAACAAGGTGATCGATTTGCATATGGGGTCTTGCGCGAGTTGCCAGGCGGCTGTGAGTCCTGTGATGCCACCGCCAAGCACGACGGCTGAGTATGTGCATTTTTGACCATTGAGGAGATGAGTCAATTGCCTTGGTCTTGGTCTTAGTGCTCTAGAGACACATGGTAGCCGCATATCTGCTGATCGGGGCAAGATTCGGTTCGCAGTTGGTTGGATAATTGAAGCTAAACCCGAAGGTCCTCGGAAGCTTCCGTTCTTACTTAAGCTACGCGGGGACCTCGGGAGCCCTAACTAACCAAGAGCCCTCCAGCTCACTTTTTCCAACAATCCTACGAGCTCGCACAATGGTTCATGAGACATTCGCGAATTTGTCTTCGCTTCGGTATTATTCTTTTAGAGGGGGAATCTATGAACAGGACAGAAAATAGTATCTGAAACAAAAGCAAATGCATAAAGAGTATCAACGCCCTTCGCTCCAGCCATTCCTCGTTCGTTGATCAAGATCGGGTTGTACATGGTATTCTTCGCTTCGGAAACAGACTGTTGTGGGATGTGTGCTATTTTTTTTTTTTGGTTTCGGTTTTTTAACAGTGATTTTTCTTCATTCATTGGGTGTCATGTCAGGCGGAGTCACGCGGTCAGCTCCTGACTCTGAGTGTTCTCCTCGGTCTCCGGCTTGATCAACTCTTGCGGTCCATCCAAATCCGTAACAAACTTGCGCTCGCTGACATGCTCTGCAGAGCGCGGAGTCCACACCTTGTCAGCGTAAGCACCGCGCTGACCCTCGGCGTGCTTGTAGGTGCACTTCGGGTTCAGGCAGGGATTGAACTTGCAGGCGGTCTCGACATGTGTAAACTTGCATCCTTCGGTCTTGCAGTCGGCTCCATTGCGGCAGACTGGCATACTCGGGTGCTTGAAGTGACAAGTTGGGTTGGTGCAGTGAGGGAAGAACCGACACATGGCCTCTGCCTGGTGAGCAGATCGCACTGCTGGTGAAGGGTGGCGTCCGGTGCATTTCGTGTTCTTGCAAGCTGCACCGAATGAGCAAGTATCAGAAGGATCGATTGAAGTACCTTCGGGAGCGGCAGGTGATTGATGGGCGAACGGGCAATCCTGGCGCGAGCATCGTTGGTTGAAGCGACAAACATTGTCGGGGTTGCTTTCATCTTGTTCACCACCCGCTGTGCTGTCCATATCCACGTCTGCTCCGTCTGCCGCTCTCGACTTGTTGTAACTGCGCTTTCCTCCACGCTGACCACCTCGTTCGACCCGATTGAAGAGCGAACGACCTTGGGAGCCATTGTGGGAACCAGTTTGGAATGCAGGGTTTACAGCGGGTGGCATGAAGCCAGGCATGAATTGAGACATCATCCGGGCTTGTTCTTCCAACATCGACATAAGCTGCATCTGGTTTTCCGGGGTCATCTGCATCATGGGGCCGCCTGGCATTCCCATGGCACGGCCACCGCGACCATTTTGCTGGCCGACGCCTCTCATTTGACCCCGGCCATTGTGACCAATGCGCCCGTTTCCTTGGCCGCGCACACGATGTAGAGCTGCATCCGAGCCACGATCCAGGTTTCGATTGATTTGGTTCAACATTCTTCCTTTGCCGCCTCTACCATTACGCATCGCTTTCGGTCCTGTGGGACTATTGAGGAGCACTGTCAGCATCTTGTAAACATTAACAAAAAGGCACGGTAAAAACTCACATCTCGTTTCCGGCCTCGCCCATCTCGGCATCCTGGCCATTGGTCTCTCCAAACGGATTGGGCATCGTTTGAGCTGAGTTATCGAATTCCATTGCCGAGGGGTTCAACTGTCCCATGGTAGCATCGGTCGAGGCTGGAGCAGCCCCATTAATTTGTTGGTTAAGCGTCTCGACTTGAGTGAAAAGCCATTGCGAAAACTCGAGGGCTGCAGTATCGCCTTCCTGGAGGCCAAGGAAATCTTTTGAAAGTTCAGTGGCAATTTGTTCCTCGGTCTTGCCGTTGACTAGCATGAGAACGATGTATTCGATCAGTGGTGACTCTTGGCCATCACTCCAACCCATCTCCACCAATTTCGGCTGGATGACGCTTGCGACTGCTTGCGCAAGAGGCGTCTCGAGAACAATTTGAGGCATCATGGCGAAGGCGATTGTGAAGTTAGGCAAAAGTGACAGGTTGGTGAGAAATTCACGAAGAGAGAGCTTTGCTGATAAAAGAACTTGCGCCACCCGATAAAGGCGTTTCGGATCTTATCGGCGCCACTAACAATGAAGATGCGATGAAAACGGGATGTAGTAGCGGTTGGGGTCACAAGTGAGTTTAATAGACCAGTAACAGGTTCTGGTAGAGAAAGCAGGACTTTAGCAAGCAGATTGAAGTGAAGCTAAAGACCCGGGCGACCAAAACGGATGTTTGATCACGTGGCTGTGGCTGGCCAGCGGTGAGGTGGGGCAGTACAATGTACCACAGCCTACAGGGCCGTCAAGGTCGATTTGGTATCAGTTAGAAGAGCCCTTGCTCCTATTTTTGAATCCTATCTGAAGGGTCAGATAAAAGAGGTGAAAAAGTTTGAGCTGTCGGAAGACATAAGGAGTTGATTTTGCGACTATGTACTAAAGTTCTACATATGCACTAGTACTAGTTTGTATATTCACAATAGCCATTGTTTTACTACCAAGTCATTGAGCTGTTGTGAATGGGTTTCATGGTTTCTATACACAATGAGAAGTATCCAGACAAAGAACTTATCGGTCAACTGACATCCGAGAAGGGAAATTGTCTAAAGGCAAGTACCCGTGAGAGAACAGTTAAAGAGCGATAATCCACTAGATCACGTGAAGACTTAATAGGTCCACTAGCTCCCCTTAACCACGCACATCATTGGTCTCCTTTCCCTTAACTACTCCGTACTCCAAATGTTCTATATATATTGTACAGCCAGGGGTCTCGAGGCTTTCTATAGCTCTAGCCTAAAGCCCGAATGCTCAAGGCCCGACGTATCAGGCGTCTTATACTTAGGCCTTCATGAAGGACATGTGCACATACAACATAGTTAGTTATGCAGTGCAGGGATATTTATGTGGCTGCAGCCCACATATCCACAACCTTGGAAAGTGTTGTCGATCTCCCTATGTCGCCAAATCTTGTCTACCGAGAGTCGTATCTTCATACGGCATCTTCGTCGGTGTCCCTACGATAATTATACAGTATGGAACCGGGATCACAATGGACCTGGTGGGGATTTATGTCTAGCCCATTCTCTTATGGCAATATCAAAGACAAAATAGGGATCAATAAACGAAGCATGAAGTCACATAACGCGGGGCTCGCAAGCATCGCTCCTTTGGGCCATCCTCCTACACCTCTTTGGGATATAGGAAAAATACATCATTGGACACTACGAGTTCATTTATATTCTCTAGAAAGAGAGGATGGCCGTGTTCTCGGATTCGTAAACGTTGCAACCCGTATGGTCCACGCTGTTTGACAAGTTCACCTTCATAAAATAGACTTCGTCCCTGTCATATGTTATGCAACATATCAGTTCTTTTTTCTCTTATTCTGAACGTGTCCCCTCGAAGACACAAACCAAAATCAGACCCATCAACTCAGCCCAGTCCAGTTCAGCGGCACCATGATTGAAGACATCCTTGAGAAGACGACATTCAGTCGGGCCTCGCTATGGCTTCTCGGGCTATTCGTTGCATTCTGCGTATTCCGCAAATTCCAAGCTTCAGCACAAATCGCCCGTCTCGGTCTCAGAGCTCCCAAAATTGAGTTCCGTCTCCCATACGCTCTCGACTTCATATTCCAAGACTACCAAGCCAATCAAGTCAACGGCCTTATAGAATTCTGGGATGCAAAGATCAGCCAAGCAGGCGGCCTAAAAAATGTGAAGACGGCCGAACTCGATGCTGGAATTTCCACCCGAACAATCATCACCAAGGACCCAGAAAATATCAAGGCACTCCTCACCCGCCAGTTCGCTGACTACGGTAAGGGTGAGTCCTTCCATCAGGAGTGGAAGGAGTTCCTCGGCGACAGCATCTTTATCACAGACGGGGAACTATGGTCTCGCTCCCGCCAGCTCATTCGTCCCATGTTTGTGCGTGACCGCATTGTCGACACAGAAATCTTCGAGAAACATGTTCAGAAACTCATCCCACTTCTCGGCGGTAGTGACTCTCCCAGCAGCAGCAAGGTAGTGGACGTCGGGTCACTCTTCTTCCGATATACCCTCGATGCAGCAACAGACTACCTGCTCGGCAACGGCACAGACAGTCTAGATAATCCGGCAACACGGTTTGCGGAAGCGTTCAAATATGTTCAACAGCGTCAAGCGGAGTACTTCTGTTTCGGGTGAGTGATACTCGATCCTGTGCGACGCCACCATCGTCTGTCATTGGAGCCTCGCTGAGCTTAATCTAACACTGAATCTCAAAACAGAGTCTTTAGTTTCGCCATGTCACGCACCGAATTCCGCAAAAACCTCAAGATCATGGACGAGTTCATCCAGCCATACATCCAAACCGTCCTCGCTCATTCAGCCGACGAACTTAATGAAAAACTTTCAACCCACGAGACCTTTCTCGACGCCCTAGCCAGGTTCACCCGCGATCCCCGCGTCCTCCGTGACCAACTCGTCGCCATTCTCCTCGCAGGTCGTGATACAACAGCCGGCACACTATCCTTTTGTCTCTTCGAGCTTTCGCGCAACCCAGAAGTGGTCGCCAAGCTGCGCAACGAGATTCGCGACAGACTTGGCGTCGGCGCCACCGCCCAGAAACCCAGCTACACCGATCTTAAGGAAATGAAGTACCTCAATGCAGTGCTGCACGAGACCATGCGTTTATATCCTGTCGTGCCATTCAACGTGCGCCACTCTCTGCGCGATACGACGCTCCCACGTGGCGGTGGGCCGGATGGACTAGCGCCTGTGGGTGTGCGCGCAAACACGCGGGTCATCTACTCGACGCTGTTGATGCAGCGGGACCCTGATCTATATGACGGCCCGGGATCGGAGAACTACTTCAATCCCGGGGAGTGGATTCCTGAACGGTGGGTTTCCGGCTGGCAGCCCAGGCCGTGGCATTTTATTCCGTTTAATGGGGGACCGCGGATTTGTATTGGGCAGCAGTTCGCTATCATTGAAATGGGATACACTGTTATTCGGATTTTGCAGGCTTATGAGCGCATTATTGCGCTGCCGGTTGGTGGGAAGAATAAAGTCGAAAATCCAGAGCTTCAATTCGAAGTTACACTTAGCCCTGGCTCCGAGTTGAATTGCGTTTTCCTCAAGGAGGGTGAATAGGCTGCGCACAGTGTCGTATCGCTAAGGCAAGTGTTGCTTGAGCTGTGGTTGATTCTTTGAATTACAGCGCGATATCTCTCAGATCCGAATCTATGTTCTGCTTTGAAATTTTGTAGCAAGTTGAAGTATATATTGTTCGTACATTATGTTAATTCATGTGTGATCTAATAAACTCGTGACCATATTAGGAATAAGAATACAATTAGTAGCAGTTTGACTGTCGCTTCCGTAGCTTCTTCAGTCTTTGCAAAATCTCTACTTTCCGTAGCTCCAAAAACAAATCCTCTTCGTCCGCATCATCCAAATCACCCAAGACACTCCCCAGGGCCGTCTGCACAGGTAGAGGTGGGACGTCGATCTCCTTGACCGAGATATGGGCCCTCCCTTTCACACCCGTAGTGTATGTAGATCTCTTAACCACATGTGAGATTAAGGAGCTATCTGAGATTCGTGCTACCTTGGGCGGGAGAACATGATTCTTCATCGGTGCGTAGGTTTCGTTTTTCAGGCCAGCGGCTTCTCCTTTCTCGGCTCTCTCAGATCCCACCCAGCCTCTACTCATTTGCACAGCCCTTTCCCATTGTGCAAACTTAGCAGAACTCTCTTGTCGCAGGACCTGGGACTCAAAGACCGTACCGCCGGAACGATTGATATCTCGCAGCTCGGCAAAGTTGTGCCAAAGTCCAACAGCAAGGCCGGCTGCAATGGCTGCACCGAGAGCTGTAGTCTCACGCATCTTTGGGCGGTAGACGGGGATGGATATCACATCTGCTTGAGTCTATATTTTAATCAGATTAGTTCTTGTTCAAATACTCACACGTGCAAGAGAATTTGCTATTTACCTGCATTGCTAGGTCTGAGTTACTCATACCCCCATCTACAGCCAGTTCCGAGAGTGTATGGCCGCTGTCTTTCTCCATTGCGTCTAGAATTGCTTTAGTCTGGAAGCAAGTTGCCTCTAAGGTAGCGCGTGCGATATGGCCCTTTTGGGTGTACTGGGTGATACCAACTGCATACTCTGTCAGACTTAATATAATATAACAGCCTGGTAATGAGAAACTCACAGATGGTTCCTTTCGCGTCATCAATCCAATAAGGTGCGAAAAGTCCACTGAACGCAGTGACAAACACACATCCGCCATTATCTTCCACCGAGTATGCAAGGTCATTGACCTCTTTAGACTCGTGGAAAAAATTCAAATTATTCTGTAAAAATTTGATCCCAGATCCAGCGACAGCAATGCTGCCCTCAAGCGCATATACAGGCTTTCCACCAAAGTGGTAAGCCACGGTAGCTAGCAACCCGTGTTTCGAGAACACCAGCTTGTCACCAACATTGTACAAAAGAAAGCATCCAGTGCCATACGTATTCTTCGCCATTCCAGGTGAGAACCCTTTCTGCCCAACCAACGCCGCAGACTGATCCCCCAGACAGCCCATAATCGGAACCCGCGCCAAAGCCCCAGAAGCAACAGCCCCGTACGCTGTCGCATCAGACGAGGGCACAATCCTAGGCAAATAAACATTCCCCCTGATCCCAAAAAAGTCCAGAAGCACTTCATCATACCGTAACGTCTCCAGGTTCATAAACATGGTCCGTGAAGCGTTTGTCGAATCTGAGACAAAGACGTTGGCAGCCACGCCACCGTTCAAATGGTATACCAGCCAGGCATCGACAGTACCAAACGCCAAGGTACCGCGGTCAAATGCATCCTTCACCCTTGGGACATGTCTCAACATCCAGATTAGCTTTGTAGCCGACGAGTAGGTTGATAACGGCAGACCACAGAGTGCTTGGAGCTGCTCTGCCCCTGGTTTCTGTTTCAATTCCGCGACAATCCCCTGAGAGCGTGTATCTGTCCATACAATGGCATTGTACAGAGGCTCGCCAGTCTCGTGGTCCCAGACTATGGTTGTTTCGCGCTGGTTGGTTATTCCGATGCCTTGGATGCTGCTCCGGGTGTGACCTTGCGCTTCGAACTTGTGGACTGCCTCTTCCATGCAGGTCTCTACTGAAGTTATGATCTCGAATGGGTCGTGTTCATGCCATCTAGTAGTGGTTAATTTGCGTCCAGGCTGGGCTTTTGATCCGATTGTTGGGTTGGACTACAACTTACCCCGGATTCGGGTAGATTTGGCTGAATTCGACTTGATGTGATGTTACTGGCTCACCCTCACGGTTGAAGATCAAAAATCTGGTGCTCGTGGTGCCTTGATCGATTGACCCCACAAATATATCTGAGGGCTGCATGGTTATGGAGTGTTGTGTAGGAATCTACGAGGAATAAAAAAAGGAGTCGTCTATTTACGCATGACACGAGATGACAAAGAACAAAGCGTGGGAGAACTCGAGATATAGCAAGAAACATCAAACACATAAATATAAGCGTTTGTACATACTAGCTTCACAGTCACACGGCGGGGTGCCGATTCGAGGAATGCAGGGAGACACCGTGAGAATAGATTGGTGGGATTATCCCTGGCCAGGCGTGGGATTAAAGGTGAGAATTGGCTGTGCTACAACATGTATTGACCATTCGTCTAGACTCTTTCTTGGGCTCATTGGAACTGGGATTGTGAAATTAGCCAAGTCAATGCACTTTGGACTCATTAGGGAAAAGTTATTTTACCAGGAAACGGCTCGCTCGTCCCGAATTCCCCCAAAGCCCTGTCAGCATGACTTTCCTGCATATTTTGGAGAGAGATCAGCAGACGATTGACGACTCGGTTCATTTGACGAAGTGTCAGATCCAAATCGGCGGGAATCGCGCATTGACTCGGTCTTATTTGAAGGACAACCAGAATTCTGTCGGTAAATGGCCCAAATTGCGATTGCTAAACTGGTCAGAACTGAAATTTTATCTGCAAGTCTATATTTGCTTCATTTTACCGCAGTTAATACTGCGGTGTTAACAGCTGGAGGGCAAGATATCACTTCTATCACACCGGACAACCCGGTCTCGGCGATGCTACCTCTAAGCATATGGTCACACGGTTAACTGTCAACTGTGTCACTGCCGACGAGAAAAGATTGCAAAAAATACAACCCTCAGCATCATCATGGGGAAAGACCAATCTCTTTCCGTTACCCTCGCCTCCCTTTGGAGAAGTCTGGCTCCTCGAGGTGACACAATTTGGACTTTCTAGAAACTTGCGATTGGGCCTACATGAGTTCCGGCACCTGAAGAGTTGAAGATGAGTAGCAGAAGACGGAGAAGCTTCTTCCTGCAGTTATTACAGTGACACATACCGGTAAGTGGGAACTATATACAACATTGCGGTGTCCAATGATTACCCAAAAGAGAGGAAACAGCCCAACCGGATCGGACGGTGACTTCCGGCTTCCTATGCCAGACGGCTTTTCCTACAAACGGTCCCTGGAATGAACTATGAGCGAAAATGCGCTGTCAGAAATTTCTGCTCTAGGTGAGATAAAAAGACACCGTAACAAAAAGGAGAATGGCCGGCCCAGCAAGTTTAATAAAAAGCATACGTGCACTTGATCCCGGGTTTGACTTCAGCTGATATCTTTCCTGTAAGCTTGCACGCCCTCTGGGGCTCTGGAGCCGGAACCAAGAGGACAAGACAGCACAGATACACACTCTCTTCTAGGACAAGACCCTGCATCAGCCAATCGAGCCATCATCTTCTATGAAGTACGGGATAGATTGAGGGCAAAGGGTTGGTTACACGGTCGTCCCTGATTCTACGCCGTTGATATACTGGGGGGACTACCATATCATTTTTGCGTGGCTGGTGAGATTCCCCCCGGTTGGTCGTACTATATCAATTCGAAGGCCCAACCCTGGCTTTTAGAGCTTGGGCTCTCCTTTCGATGGCTACCCGGAAAGAGCTTGAGGTTAATCCAATGGCAAAAGACCGCCGTGAAACTCTCTCCCCTGCAAGTCATGACAGTGGCTGTGGCTCGCTGTGTCTGACTGACAAGAACGAAACGGCTATCCATCACATCAACCGCGAAGTCGAAAGCCCTTATACTCGCCCCCTGCTCTGGTTCAAAGTGAGGGAGTACTTCCGTGATGCATTCTCTGAATTCTTTGGGACAACGATCCTAATTTTATTTGGGGACGGGGTCGTTGCTCAGGTGCTACTCAGTCATGGCCAAAAGGGTGACTACCAATCTATCTCTTGGGGATGGGGGTAAGCCTCTTCTTCTTCTATCATCACTCAATACTCCCTTCTAACCAACGCCATTCACCAGACTCGGCGTCATGCTCGGAGTATACACTAGCGGGGCATCAGGAGGCCACATCAATCCCGCTGTGACATTTGCAAACTGTGTCCTCCGCGGGTTCCCCTGGCGCAAATTCCCCGTGTACGCACTGTCCCAGATCTTCGGCGCGATGTGCGGTTCTGTCATCGTGTACGGCAACTATAAGTCAGCCATCAACGTCTACGAGGGCGGGCCAAATATCCGCACAGTCCCCGGCTACTCGACTACAGCAACAGGCGGCATTTTTTGCACCTATCCAGCAGAATTTATGACAAAAACGGGCCAATTCTTCTCCGAGTTTCTTGCCAGTGCGGTCTTGATGTTCATGATATTCGCTTTGAAAGACGACGGCAATCTAGGCGCCGGGCCCCTGATACCTCTGGCACTATTCTTCGTTATCTTTGGCATTGGCGCGTGCTTTGGATGGGAGACTGGATATGCCATAAATCTGGCACGGGACTTTGGTCCACGGCTGACATCCTATATGATTGGGTATGGACACGAAGTATGGGCTGCGGGGGGTTATTACTTCTGGGTACGTTTTATTTGGGCATTGGGTCAACCCTTTGAACCTTCCGGGCCTTCTCGGCTTACAAGTGTTTCTTTCTCAGATTCCTATGGTTGCACCAATATTAGGTTGCACCTTCGGGGGATGGATCTACGATTTGTTCTTGTATACTGGAATCGATAGTCCAATCAACACACCCTGGATGGGAATCAAGAGGCTGTTGGGACCCTTCAATCAAAGGCGAGTCGCACTGCAGAGCCCAGTCTAAAGCAATCATATCCTTACTTATGAGATCCTGTATGTAGGCGTGAAATGGCGACCATTGCACTGGACATGTTTTTTTTAACTTATTTATGATCTGTTTATGACAATTTCGTGTGTATAAAGGGGTGGAACTCAGCTATGCTTGTTATGATTTATATTTGACACTATTGAGCCAGTTCCTGCCGCACCTATTTAACGTCATGCAATCTATTTTCAGTTTTTCGAAATGGTTCAGGGCTTTGTCGTCGTCTCTCCTATCAAAGCCAGTATTGAGTCTATACAGATAGGTCATCGGGCTTATAAGACATCTTCAAGAGCTATATCTCCAGTTACAGGCACAATGACTATATATTTTTATTTCTAAATCACAAAGAAACCATCCAATGTATGGTACCATACCTCTCTATATGGGCTGCATAATTCTAAAAGAGAGCACTGCAGCTGTCTTACTTTTCAACTAGCACATGATGTGGTGAAATGTTCATTTGAAGGGATATTTATTGAAAGACTGAAAACAGTAATTTGGACTCGAGAAATGCCACAGAATATACAAAACAGCCTAATATTGGCGAAGAAAACTCCATTCAAGTGCTTCCCTGAAACCTCAACTCTGTCTGGTGAACTGAATGGTGCCATTGAAAGCAGCACTAAACGATCATGCGAGCAAAACAGCAATGAAACATACAAGATGAAACGAATAATATAAACCAGTGATATTTCATCGACTCAGACTATGACACGTATGTTTTGACTCGATTAGAAGACAATGGATGTTAGGTCACGTCGACTTGACCACCTCCCACGACCGGAACGGTGCTGAATAAGCACGCAGTATCTAACTCCGGATATTGCTACAAGGTATCTCTGTACGTACGTCCGAAAAAGATGCACAACTCAGAACCGATATCAATGCTACTAGGAGTATGATGCTAGACACGGCGAAGACACGCAACAAACATGGGCACGTATCTCACATAAATAGAAACAACAGATCCGACTCAGCTATCTAGGCTCAAAAAACAGCTTGAACAGAAAAGCTAATGCACACCCTTACCGCTTGCCCTTCTTGCGGGGAGCGACAACCTTGAACGCAGAGCTGGCAGCCTCCTCCTCACGCTGAGCAGCAGCCGCAATGGTAGCAGCAGAGCCCTTCTTGGCAACCTCGCTCCAGCCACCGCCGTTCTTCTGCTCACCGAAAGCACTGGGTGAGACGGGGTCGACAATGCCCTTATCGGCAAGCTTGCGGCGGCGGATGAATTCCTCCGAGAAGCGACGGCCGTCCAGAGTCTGGGAATTGGCGTAGACAGAGTCGGAGATGATCTCAGCCTCAGCGGGTAGGAAAAGCAATTGCTGGACGAAATCGTCGACTAGAGATAAGATGTTAGTATGGAGACGGTATAAATTGGCAGGACGAAACTCACCATTGATGCTGCTGTTCAACCCCTTGCTCAGAGCCAGAGTAGCCCACTTAGTGAACTCCTCAACGGCCTGGTTGGGGTTGGACTGGGGGGTGCCGCCGCTTGTCACCGTACGGGTAGTGGTAACAGGGCGGGGCTTAGCGATGAGAGGTGAGATTGGGACGGTTCCGCTAGCCGTGCGGGGTCCAAGAGCTGGCGCAGTTGGCACACCCTTGACCTTGCCACTAGCACCGACGGTGGTCCAGGCACTGGAGCCCAGGCCACCGGGGGCGACGGGAGCAGGACCCTTGCTAGCAAGATCTGCGTAACGCTTGCCGACAGAGGAGGGAACTGGAGGGCTTGGGGTCGCAGCCATAGCGGCGGCGGCGGCAGCAGCCGCGCGGTTCTTGCGGGCCTCCTCCTCCTTCTGGATCTGAGCGAGAGTCTTCTTAGCGGTAGTTGCCGTGGGTGTTGGTTGGGTCTTGTTGGCCCAAGGAGACCCAGCCGAGGCAGGGGTGGCCGGAGATCCAGCGCTAGCCCAGTTGGCAGACGAAGGGAGCCCAGGAGCTGCCTGTGCCTGCGCTTGGCTGAGACGCTCTTGCTCTGCGAGGAATTGGGCACGGCGTGCCGCAGCGGCGACTTCCTCGCGTTGGGCGGCAGTACGAGCCTCGGCTTCCTGGATCTCCTTGAGAGAGGGGCCCTTGGGCAAGTCATTTGCCTCCTTGGCCCATGGTGCGATGGAGGTAGGTGCAGCGTCAACGGGAGTTTGAGTCTGGGAGCGGGACCCGGTAGCCAGAGACTCGGCGACGTTTTGGCGGTTACGCTGGGCGGTAGGTGCAGGGAGAGGCGACGCGGAGGGTGGGGGAGGGAAAGGTTGGGGCATAGCGTGGTCAACCTTGTTTCCCCAGACCGATTCAGGAGGGCCATGGCTATGTTCATGTTCCTGCTGCTGGCGTTGGGCAGAAGCAGCCTTGTGGACTTGCTGAGAAAGAGTGAGAGGCTCAGCGCCGGTAACAGAGTCGGTCAACTGTTGAGCTGCCTCCTCCATCTCGGCCGCAACCTCTGCTTCGAGTTGCCGAGATGCGGCGGCAGGGTGGGTAGGCAGGCCTTCAGCGGTGCGCATGCCCATCTCGCCTTCCTGGGCCCGCAAGGCATGGAACTGACGAAGACGCTCCTCGCGAGCGTGCTGATCAAATGGATCATCTTCATGAGCCTTGTCAAAGTCCTCTTGCTCTTGTTGAAGCTGAGCACGATCCTGAAGCATTTGAGTAACCTGCTGGGACTGCAAAAAGTTATCGGGCTGGCGGCCAGAGAATGAACCAGCACTGCCAAAGGCAAATGGATCCTGGCGGCTGATATTCAGGCGATCAAGTAGAGCAGGGAGCTGATCCTGGTTGCCGAAATCCGTTCCCAGCATTCCGGGTCCCACGTTCAAACCGCCCTGCCTCGGTGCAACACCATCGAAGAATCCAGGGATACCTTGAGACTGCTGTTGCATGGGAGCTTGGATCGGGGATGGCTGGTAGCCAACGGGTGAAGTGATGCTTGAGAAGCTAGGCTGGCTTTGGAGGCTATGTGCGCTAGACTGGTGCTGCAGCGAAGGGTTCAGCGAGGATGAGGGAGCACCAGGAGGAGCCATCTGCTTCATAATGGCCTGCTGTTGAGCTAAGTGTTCCTTCTGTCGAGCCATCAGGTACTGTTCTTCCTGCTTGCGTCGTTCGAGCGCATTTTGCTGCTCGGCTGTCAAGGTGGTGCCGAAGCTTGGGAAACTACCCGGGAAGGGAGGCTGAGCAGATCCGGCGGTGGTATTAGTCCACTGGGCAACTGTCGGTTCCGGGCCATGAGGAAGGCCAATCTGAGGCACAAGGAAAGGTTCGCGTGAGTTCCCAATGCGTCTCACTAGCTGAGCTAAGGGCTCAAATTCGGTGTCCTCGAGCTTCTTGATTTGCAAGTCAGGGCTGAAGAAGCCCGCCTTGAACCAATCATGCATCTCAAGCCCAGTCCACGGGCCCTGGATATTGCCTTGCGGATCCCGGTAGATCCAACGCATCCTATCCGGCATAACCATGGTACGCTGCTGAGAAGCAGGAATGCCTGCGCCAGGAGTTTGACTCGAAGGAATGTCATGACCAGCAAGGTTTGGAATAGAGCCAACGGCCGAGACGGGTGTTTGCGAAGTAGGCGTTGAGCCATGGTGGCTTGCTTGACCTGCCTTGTCGCCTTGCGAAGGGTCGAGTCCATCTAGGCCCACAGAGCCGGGCCTTCCTTGCTCGTCCTGCATGGAAGAGAAGAGGGCACCGAGTTTGCTTGATCGGCCGATGCTTCCAGTGCCAGTCATACCGGCGTGAGGGCTAAATAGACCACCTCCACCTAGGGTTGACAAGCTAGGGGACTGGAGATCGCCCATAGAGCCAAATATGGGGTCACCGAAACCACCAACAAATGCAGAACGCTCACGAGTGGGAGTGCCGACAGCAGCCCCAGATGACCAAGTTGACGCTCCGCCTAGGGTAGACAGACCACCGAGACCACCGAGACCAGAGAAAGTGCGGTTGGCGTTGACACTGGAGTTCTGGCTGCGGTCCACAGTAGGAAGATCGATCCCTGAGCCAGCCCGTCTCATCGCGCCGAATGGGTTGGAATGATCCCGAAGTCCGCTAATTCCGGGATGCTGGGCAGGCTGAATATCCGATCCGTCAGTGTCGACATCTTCGGGTTCCTGGCGTTCACCATGACGATCACCATGCGGGCTCTGGTAAGGATTAGTGTTAGTTGGACTATTTGGCTCGTGGCCCTGGAGTAGGCTGGGAGTTGGGTTCCGCGAGTTCTCCTGGCTTTGCATCAACTCCCGGAATCCGGGAATGCTCGAGGTCATGCCGAATGCGCCAAACCCGAGATCAGACTGAGGAGGACCTTCAACATCCTGAGACCCACCAAGAGCAGCGCTGCCACTGCGAGGCTCGTCGAACGGATTAGTTTCGCTTCGGTTGGCGCGAGTCTTGACAGCATCTCCCCAGGGCGACTGCGAACGCGCATCACTGTCATTTTCAGCAAGACGTTCAAGGTTGCCCATGGGCTTTTCCTTAGCGGAACCGGCAATATCTTCGGAGCTATCCTTGGACAGCAACCCCTTGAATCTGCTTTCTCCACGGAGACTTCCGTATCCGGGTTTCTTTTCGGTCGTGGGAGTGCCAGAGCCAGAGCCGGAACCAAGAGAGAAAGCTCCAAAGGCACCCATCGGAGAGAAATTGGCATTATGCGAGGCCGAACCCCAGGGAGAGTTCGGTCCACCAACGCCCGTATTGATTGGATTTGTGGAGCTGCGTTTCAAAGAGCTAAAGGGAGAGGCAGGGTCGTCCCTGCTATCCTTGGCCTTCTCATCCACCTTCGGGTTTGATTCTCGGAAATCAGTTTTGCGGCGCAGTAGGGCCGGCGGAGGGGTAGAGGTATTGGCCTCATCGCGGAAAAATCGGGAGCTGGAACCGGTAGGAGACATAGGGTTGCCGATTGATTCTCCCGTTTCTCGGCGTCGGGGACCCGGGCGACCGGCGGTTGGGGAGGAGGTGGCGTAGTTATTGATATGGCCCTGAGGGTAGGAGATCGAAGACTTGCGACCTCCGGTCCCTGGGATAACGTTTTCCTTCGCGGCGTTTGTTGGGGGTGGCTTCAGAGGAGAGTTGACTGAAGCGGCGAACATCTATTCGGAATTCTTTTTAGCAAGACCACTCACTCAGACCCGAACGCATGGCACAACACAAACCTCTCTCTCATCCTCCGTCATACCCGTGATTCCCAGGGGCTCCACCTGGCCACCGTGATCCCAGCAAACCTCGGGCCCTGCGGAGTTGTTCTTGTGGTCATCCCGCTTCCCCCATGCTCCATTCACAGGAGCTGACACGGTGTGGGGATCCCAGTCGGCCACGAAGTATTCCTCCACGTTCTTACTCAAGGTCCCCTCCTCCCGCTGCGATTTATACAGCTCTAGAAGTTGATCCTTGGAGTATCGGGCGTCCCCATTCCGTGCAATGCTAGAAGTATTTGAGCTCAGGTGTGGGGGGATGTACGCGCCGCCGGCCGTGGGTGTCGAGGCAGATGCAGGCTGGCTACTATCCCGGTGGTGAGAGGGAGTAGTAGCAACAGAAGGACGGCGGAAGGTCTGCGTAGCTCCATTCATGCGGTTTCGGGACCTAGTAGGCATTGAAGGTTAGCATCGGATATCTTGAGCTCAAAACATTGATGGTCACAGCATCAAGCAATGATATTGAACCGAGCCTGGTGAGCAACAGCTAATGGAGCAGTTTTTGAAAAGGCAAAACAGTGGCTGCGTACCATTCTCCGCTAGTCGAACCATCCCCCCTCCGGCTGGGGTCCTGGGTGTTGCCGGCAGCGGCCGAAGCGAAACTAGATGGAAGTGGTGTAGGCATTGTGGTAAAGAGGCTTGTATGGTCGGATGTTGATCCCCCACGTAAAAACCGATTCTGAGATAGTTATCGCGAAACCTGTGGCGGGCTTGCAAGAGAATGTGTGATGCGAACGGATAGGTTGCAAGACACGAGATTGGAAAATTGGTGTAGAGTTGGAATATGACAGCTAGGAGCTAGTCAATCGAAGATGTAGAGAGCTGTGAGAGAGGTAATGCAGAGATGCGAGCGCCAGACTAACAAGGTCGAGAAAGAGAGAGACCGAGTTTCGATTTCGCTTGGGAAGTTTCCTAGAGCAAAAATGATTAAGCGGTGGCCGTGGCAATATTTGTGCCTTGTTGTAAATACATGGTATTAGATTACTAGCGGTCGCGTGATTTGCCGTCTAAGAGTGGTGAGGCTAGCGTATTTGTAGAGCTATCATTACATACCGCCAAGCGCAGGTATCCGATACACGCACAACATTGTGTCTGCATACTCTGCCCAATGTATCTTCTACCTTGTTCTACACCATTGTGCCCAATCCTGTGTATTAAAGAAAAGAGACGTTTGAGACGATGATGGTGTTTTCAGACAATTAGGGTGAATTTGAAGCCTGATTGCTAATTTTCCCTAACCCAAAAAGACTATAGCTAGCAAGTACGTATACAGTTAGGTGGCTTGACGCAAACAGAGAGACGTGGAAACAAAAGAATAGACGTGTGTTCTCCACAAAAGCCACGCTCCTCTTTTGATTGGAGTTCAGCTGTTTTTCAAACAGTTGACAGTTAGGGATTGGTTTGGTGCTTTGTCTAGGAATACAAAGGAGTCTAGTTGTCCCACAAATGCAATAGAGGAGGTTGAAATGCATCTAATGCTATCCCTTTCTACCCAACCTCTGCAATGCTGGGCAAACATACACTGGCTTGCAAAGGTTCAACGGTCTTATGTCTTTCGATTCGGGCTGACATCCGGTTGGATTCAAAATATCATCCTCTGTTGTGCCTGTCAATAGGGCTAGATCATTGTGTCGCCCTTTGTAGACATCTACTGTTCCCGTTTGTCCTTTGATGCTTCATTCTGCACCAGACAATGCTGTCTGAGATTTGCTCACTTTAGGAGTAACATAGAGACGGCGCAAAACGACATAATGAATGTCTATGATATGATGAGCTCAGTCTTGGAGCTTCACAGATGTTATCAAAGCTCTATAAAAATGGCATCCCCCTCTCCGGCAATTCCCTCTTTACGGTTCTTTCGCCCCAAGACAATCCAGTCAGGTTTCTATGAACTATAAGCTTTTTTGCATAACAAAGATCATTTTCTCTTTTGTGTCTCCACTATCCCAGTGCTCGTCGTCTTTGATCGAAGAAGATGAGACGGTCCAGATTCACTGGCCGATCCAAACCCAACAATACAGAATTCGGCTGGTACTTCGCTGGCGAGCCAATGGACAAGAGACTTTCTCGAAGCGGGCGAATCAGGCTAGTTCGTTACGGACCTGAGACGGAACCTTGTGCCCACAGTCGATGCCCATCGCCATCTCCCATTCCAGAAAAGGCATATTGTACCTGCAGCAGCACATGCGCGATTCACTCCCACAGGACACGCTCCCCATCCCCGGCCAACACTGACTCCTCTATTTATGAGGTGAAGATAGTATGCTGTGGGGGATGCCATACTATCAGACGCGAGGTTGGATCCCCTCCACAGGTTGAGGAAATACCCTGCTCCTGCGACAATCGGTGTGAACGTCGCTCGCACGAAACAAGCCCGATCACACCAAGCAGCAGTGACTATTCTAGCTCCGAATCAGCCACAAAACAATATGATAACCGTCACTCAACAAGACGCGAGCGTCGCTCCAACGACACACGTCCCACAACTCCGAACAGCAGTGATTTTTCAGACTACGAACCACCCAGAAGACGCCGCAGCGGCCACCGCACCTCCAAACGCGAACCAGAGCATCATCCGCAGATGGAGAAATGCCAATGCGAGGCCCATGCTCCCCGTCCCAACAAACCTGCCATGTCAGCTCAGAGATTCACCACAGCACCACGCTCCGGTCCAGTAGTTCAACACCACTGTCGCAAAGCATCTTATTGCGAAAGCCACCCGGAATCCTGCCGAGCTTATATGCCTGTGCCTTCGCCAATGCCGAGACCGACGCCACCTCCAACGCGCTTTCCCCGGTCGAGTGAAAAGTCCCGCCACAGCTTGGATGTCAAATCAGACCCAAAATACACTTACAGACGGTCTGCTTCTCCTCCCAACAAGACGCCTCCCCCAAAGCCAGTGCCTTCATCCAAGCGTACGTCTTCCAGACCTGATTCTCAGCACTATGGCCGTTTCCACGTGGATGGGTTCCATGCCGATAACTCTGGGTATTATACTTATGATTATGACGCTGCTTCTGAGACCTCTATTCAGGCCATGCCTGGCCATGATAGGGATGTGGACGAGAGACGTTGTACTTTTTATCACCGCTGTCGTCCGAGATTCGAGTGTGGACTTGGCTGGGTTTGCGGGAGGAAGTGAACAGTCTCAGCTCAGTGGCTCGGTGGTTTTATTTGATTTCAATAGAAGGACGACTCATACTTTTTTCCTGTTTTCTCTTGCTGCTTTCTCCTTTCCTGTCTGTTGCCATTGATGGAGCTTTGTTGGAATTTCTCTCATTTCCTCAGAGGCCCAGGTTATCTCCTATTGTTCTTCTCGTGACTGACGTACGGTTTTTGATTTATTGAGACGCTCATAGACAAATTGATATTGTATTTCAAATCTGACATTTCCTTTGGCATTATTGTAATCTCTGTTTTATAGTCAAGGTCTAAGCCCTCTCATTTATGTAGTCAATAACTTCATCAAACATAGCATGAATTCTACTATCGCATAGAGAAGGGGATGATTAATGATTCTTGATATTTCGGTGCCAGCTACAATATATATTCCCGGGAGATGCAAAACCAACAACGGATAGCAGATCTCAAATATTCTAAACTAGCTCTCCTGATATACTAGCGAAATATGCAGCACACAAAGACAATGTAAAGACTGTGAAAGGCTATAGTACAGCAGCTACAAAAATAGCCCTATGCGCTGTGACGTCAGGAGAAAACACTATGAATCTCGTTGCTTTTGATTACGATTTGTTTCAATTCGAGCTTCGCGTTCTGAACTCTATCAGAGTATATAGATACAGGTTTCCAATTTCCATCAATCGTCCGACATATAGTCTCGGACATTCGGGCCCAGGCGTGTAATCGAAGAAATCAAAGAAACCTCGGCTATCGATAAGCATTGAAGCATCCCCGCATGAGCGCCCCGATTTGAGTCAAGGTCAGTTTATTAGTTTATTTTTGATATCATCAATCCATCGCATCCAAAATGTCCAAAGCAATTTACATATCTCCCATTGACGGCAAGCCCGGCAAACCAGGCCAAGTCTATTACCCGCTCGCCCTACGAACGGTGCCTAAGCCTTCCCCGCAAGGGGGTGAGCTATTGGTGAAACTGACCGCCGCGGCGCTCAACCACCGCGACCTCTTCCTCCGCCAACACCTCTACCCCGGCGTGACCTTCGATGTCCCCCTGCTCGCAGATGGAGTTGGTATCGTTGTCGGCACTGGCCCGAATGTTCCCAGCCCAGAGCAATGGCAAGGCAAGCGGGTGATCTTGAATCCCGGTGCTGGCTGGAAGGATTCGCCTGATGGCCCGGAGGATCCTGCTGGGTACCGAATTATGGGAGGCACCAAGGTTTTGGATAAGGGGACATTGCAGGAATATATTACCATCGAGTACTCGGAGGTCGAGGAGGCCCCTGAGTATCTCTCTGATGCTGAGGCTGCGGCTCTGCCCCTGACGGGCTTGACGGGCTGGAGAGCTCTGATTACCAAGGCTGGTGAGAGGAACTCTGGGAATGGTGCTGCTGTCTTGATTACTGGTATTGGTGGAGGTGTGGCTCTGATGGTGCTACGATTTGCTGTTGCCAGAGGTGCGTATGTCTTTGTGACGAGCTCGAGCCAGGAGAAGATTCAAAAGGCCGTTGAGCTAGGTGCGACCGGTGGTGTCAGTTATAAGGAAGATGGCTGGGAAAAGAAGCTGTTGGGTATGCTCCCAACTGGAAAGAGAAACTTCGATGCCATCATTGATGGTGCCGGTGGTGATTCTATTGAGAAATCTGTCAAGTTACTCAAGGTGAGTGCGACAACGGGATATACATTCAATAACAGATGAAAGTACTCACATTTTAAGGCCGGCGGTGTCCTCTCTATCTATGGAATGACTGTGTCTCCTAAGATGCCATTCACCATGACTGCTGTCCTCAAGAATATCGACGTCCGCGGCACCACGATGGGCTCCCGGAAGGAGTTCAAGGAGATGATTGAGTTCGTCAAGGCCAAGAAGATCCGACCTGTGGTGTCGCGAGTTCTGCAGACCGAGCTAGATGACTTGTCCGCAATCGACGAGCTGTTCGAAGATATGAAGAAGGGCACACAATTCGGCAAACTGGTGATTGAATTTGGCAAGTCTGCGGGCAGTAAGCTGTGAAATATTATTGCTACGATTCCCATGAATTCATGATGCCTAAATGGCTGTCTATACACCTATGATACATATCAATTGAGATATTTTGCAGCAATCACCAGTGTTCTTCGTGCCTTCCCCCTGGGCCACTTCACGCATCACCGCGTCACAATTTGTTACTTATTCTCATCTTCAGCATGCCATCGCCACTCTTATATTTCATCCTCACTTATTATAATCAAATCGAGTAACTGAATCTCGAATTCGCTCATTGTATAACAATTCTTCCATTCATTTCCGATTCCACCCCAGCTATGAACTCCAAGAGGGATCACATCTCCACTCGACGAGTCTCTCGCTCCGTTTCTCGCGGAAATGGCCATGTGCCCCGTATATCAGACTCCCATCGTGCCCCAGAAGATTCATGGGACGAGGATAGTTTCCAGGTATTGCCGCATTGGGGAAACATCGATCCTATGGAATGTACTGACAGTCAATAAAGTCCTTCGACGCCACTCACTATGCCCTGCAAACCCTCAACAAGCACATCGAACGAAGAGTCGCAAAACTGCAAGCCAATACAGTCCGTCTGAAGCGTGAACTGTGGTTGCTCCAGCGACACATCAAAGAATTCCGCCATCCTCTTTTCGAGAACTGGGAAGCCGACTTGCTCACCCGTCTGATCGAAGTTGCTCACGCCCATCAGCATAAGAAGCTGCCAGGAGGCGTCGTGATTGGAGAGTTCTCATTTGTCGAACGCGAGAATCTCAACCATGCATATAGCATCGCGGCGAAGGGAATCCGCATGCCGACTCTTCGTAAGCTCGGTCTGTCAGAGAAGTATCATCAGGCGCTGCAGAGATATTCAGAGGTGAGTTATCGCCATGGTCTTGACTCCAGGTACCTAGCTAGTCCCGCGCTAACATGGATCAGGTCGCTCCTTATCGAAGCCCGAATCCCTTCCAAACCGAGTTCGCATTCGCCAAATGGCTGGTCGAGGTGCGGGAAGACAGACCCGAACTGTACGCTTTCTGGTCTAAGCTTTTTCCCGTCTGCTACGACCGCACCGTTTACGAGAGCGCTTCCATCTTCTAGAGGATTCCTTCGGCCTCGCCGCGTTTGCTTTTCTTTTGCTGTTCCTACGGGCGAATCGTCCAAAGAGGGATTGTTTAGTGGGTACGATACTGCTTAGCTGTTTAGAGATCTGCTATTTCTAGAAGTTTGTGGGTCATTGCTCTGTGTTCCGACCTTGTTCTGCCCCGTGCGGTTGTGATCATCGTGTCTCATTTCAGCTTGCCGCATAGAAGCCGAGTCTATTATTATCGTTAGCCGTCAGAATGCAGTGTCTTTTTGGTCATACCCCGACGCACGGCATGACTCTAAAAAAATAACCCTAATCGTACCATGAACTAGCAGCCTCAGCGATCGACGTACTTGCAACCGATCGGGCAACAGACTGCAACACTACCGTTGCATCGAAATCAAACCCTAATATTCACCGATAACTCTAATCGACAAACCAAACAATTGCTTTGAGGGGTCCTAAGCCCTCCGGTACTTCTAGCAGGGCGTTGTTCTAGTCGAACAGCTGAACAGCCAACAATAAGCAATATGCTGTATACCGTATGCAAACCTCACGTCCACGATCTCAAAACGCAATCGGCCCGCATGCTGCATCAGGCAGTCAACGGGAAATTCAGTCGGTTGTACGGAGTAGTAGTAACACAACAATCTTCCCGCTCGCTAATAATAGCATCTATTATGGAGTCCATACACCACACGGGGGACACTAAGCTCGATGCCAAATGATAAGTGCGAACTAAAAAGTGAGACAGCCCTAAGCGGTATGTATACCGCCCCGCATGGGTGGTTGGGCTTGGCAAGGTTAGCGCAACGCTCTCCAGCTCAACCTCGTGGACCGCTTTTCAGGGTCTCCAACTCCCCCCGACTCGGGTATGTTCCGAAGGGTCTTTTGCTGTGGTTTGGGTGGGCTTGGGGTGTTTTTTTTAGAGGGCGTTTTTCGATTCGGGTTGGGTTAGGCTTCGACGTTCTTCCGACGTTCTTCCGGTCGCTTTGCTAGTGGACTATGCCCCTTCCGGCTGCCAAGCTCTCCATTCCCCACAGATATGTTTATGTTGACTAATCATGGATGTGCTTGGTGCGACGAAGTTAGTTGCTATTCTTGTTTTCACTCTTGCGCCTTTGTGGATCTAATTCGGTGGAGATACGTCAGTGGAGCGAAGTAAGAAAACAGGTCTTTTATATTGGCATATCCAAGATAGAGATATACGATGTAGTACTCGTACATCATGTACCATAGATGGAAGGTCGCTACCAATATAGATTAAGCTTAACAAAAGGTTAATGGGATAAGCCGACCTTGGTTCTTGCACTAAAGAGTGTTGCCTATCTTGGCATTCACGGACTAAATATGCACTCAACGTGGTCAAGTGGGGACAGTGTAGCATGGAAAAAAAGTGGAAAGCGATGGATAAATAGACCGTGCACTTTACTTACGTCGGAACCAGGGTAGAGTCTACCAATTGACCAAAGAGGAGCGGTTGACTGGGGCTATTAGTGAAGCAACGAACTCGATTCGGTACGCAATGCGCTGCCAAAATTGGATACAAGTGCTGCTAAAAAAGTTCGGACCTCGGGAAGAGAGTGATCCCGGGATTGAAAATTCATTCTCCGTGCTCTGATTGGTGGGACTTTCTTTACGGGGGGGGGGGGGGGGGGGGGGGGGGGGGGGGGGGGGGGGGGGGGGGGGGGGGGGTGGGGGGGGGGGGGGGGGGGGGGGGGGCGGGGGGGGGGGGGGGGGGGGGGGGGGGGGGGGG